AAAAAAAAAAAAAGAAAAAAAAGTTTTGAATGAGTGGTAAATTTAGTAACCATATGGTAATAATGGTAATGACCTCCAATACCAATACTGTATTACAAATCTAAATGATATTACTATATTACCATTTATATTTACCATATGATAATTTATCATATCGTTTCCGTTGATAATGAAACGATACAATGGTAATTGTGACATTTATAATATAGTGCCCAGCCTTAATCACAACAATACACAAACAGGTATCAATGATTTATTGATCCCAGTTAAAAGGTTTTTACTTTTTAAAATAAAATTTTAATTTTGAATTTTATGGATAAAAAAAAATCATAAGAGAAATTTTTAAATAAAACCTGATATTATTTCATTTTAAATTAATTAAAATTTAATATATTTATCAAATATGAAAAAAATTAGTAATAATATAAACAAAAAATAGACAAACAGGTACAGTTACGGAGATTTTACAGTACCTTTCAGTTCGGTCCATTTCATTCACGGCCCAATCAGTCTTCCCCACGTCACCTGTCTCTGCCCGCCCACTTCTTTCACTGTAAAATCACCGCAGCACACGACACAATCAGATTCTCCGTTAACCCAACCCCTCCTCCAAACCCAAAAAAATAAAATAATAAAAAAAGCTCATGCCTTGTCGGCGATTCTTCGCTCGCCGGACCCTGACTCGCCTCCACTCCACTCCTCTCCCTCTCCAATGACCTCTACTTAGGATCTTTTCTCTTTCGGAGCTTTTTTTTTAATAATTTTCTATTTATCAATTTGTTTCTCTCTGGAAGTGTAATCGAGCTCAGTTAAAGAGTGGGAGATGTACGTAGTGCCGCCGCCACCGTCTAAGCGATCGGATCCGGGTTCCTCCGGAGATTTACGGGTTTACCAAACCTGGAAAGCCAACAATGTAAGCTTTTTTCATTCTTTTTTCCTCTTTTGATTCCAATGCTTGAATTTTTACTTGGATTTTGTTCCAAATTTTTAGCTTTACTGGAGATAATTCAAAGGGGTTTCCTTTTTTACTGGTGTTGGTGTTGGGTTTTTTTTGCAGATATTTTTCCTTCAAGGGAGATTTATATTTGGTCCGGATGTAAGATCGCTGGGGCTCACTATATTGCTTATTCTTGTTCCGATCATCATTTTCTGCGTCTTTATTGCCAGGAAGTTGATGTATGATTTTTCTCATCACTGGGGGAAATCAATAATGGTGGTTGCTGTTGTATTAACTGCTTATGTGAGTCTCTCCTTCTGCTTGTAATTTGGGGGAAAGAGGGTGTGTTTTTCTTTCTTCAAATGTTGAAAGTTTCAAAAAAAAATCTTCCCTTTTTGCTTAAAATTCTTACAATGCAGGAGCCCCAAGACAAATTTCTGTTAACCGCCCCAATCACATGGATGGTAGCCATTGTCCCTTCTTGCTGTAATTCTACTTTAGCGCATGTTGAAGTCATCTATTTACCAGACACTGTCAAGCATAAGCCTTGCAGTTATGGTGGGGTTATGGTTAATTGTTAAATACTTTGCTTGTGGTCGGGTCTAATAGTGTGCAGTAGTAAAACTGTATGACCTAATCTAAGATTCATTAAGAATGTTAATTATTCTTCTGTGGTTGTTCATGCTTTGATCTGTTGTTAGTATGGTTATTGAATGTGTTGCAATTGTTGTGTACTGTGTTTGTTGCTGTATTGTCTGGACCATCTAACTGCAATGACATTCTGAATTGTCTAGGATATCAGTTTTGGCCTCCTGTCTTTTGTGTCCATGTTCCACCGGGCGCATAGCTTTCAAAATCCTCACCACTTGGTGTGCTAAATTTTTTGAGAAGTTAATATGATCTATGACATTTAATTTAAACGTGTTCTATTTGTCAGGATTTAGGTTTTCTTCTTCTAACTTCTGGAAGAGATCCTGGTATAATTCCGCGCAATGTTCACCCTCCTGAACCTGAAGGATTTGATGGTAATACAGATGTTGGGGCTTGCCAAACTCCACAATTACGCATACCACGCATTAAAGAAGTTGACGTTAATGGGATCACAGTGAAGATCAAGTATTGTGATACTTGCATGCTTTATAGACCTCCTCGCTGCTCACACTGTTCAATCTGCAATAACTGTGTTGAACGATTTGATCACCACTGTCCTTGGGTTGGGCAGTGTATTGGACTGGTAGGTGATCATTTGTTCATTTGCTTAGATTTATGTACCGTTCTAGATTTATAGTTTAACATCTAAAGAAAGCTCCAGCTCCCTTTCTCCAAAAATGGAAAAAAAAAAAAAAAAAAAAAAAAGAGAGAAAGAGAGAGAAGAAAATAAATGGGGGAGGGAATTAAAAGGGGGAAAGAGAAAGGATCTCCTTTATCTTTAGTCCATGTATCTCTTCCTGTTTCCATAGTGCTGCATGATAGAGGTTGTGTTCCCTGATTATGGTATCTGTATTAGTGGTGTGATGTGAAAATTAGTTTCTACTCACAACTTTCTCAAAATAATATTTGTTAAAATTCTGGGAAGAAAGACTTTTGGAGCTAGAATATCAGAAGTCATCTCAGTTGGCAATTGGCATGATACTCAATACATGTTGTTTGTTTGATCTATGATATTTTTATGATATTTGTGGATGCAGCGTAACTATCGGTTCTTCTTCATGTTTGTCTGCACAACAACCCTTCTTTGTATATATGTTTTTGCTTTCTGCTGGGTCTACATCAGAAGGATCATGGATTTGGAGGAGACAACCGTTTGGAAAGCGATGATCAAAACCCCTGCCTCCATTGTTCTGATAATCTACACTTTCATAGCAATGTGGTTTGTTGGTGGTCTGACTGCCTTCCATTTGTATCTGATCAGCACAAATCAGGTGAGATAATCATCTTCCTCATATCACAATCAATTTGTTTAAAGAATTTGTTTAAAGAATTTGTTACATATTTTCTTACTTTTGACAAATTTATTAAATGGTATATATCTATATGCCTTGCTATTGCAGACAACATATGAGAATTTTAGATATAGGTATGACCGTCGAGCCAACCCGTATAACAAAGGAGTGGTTGAAAACTTCAAGGAGATATTTTACTCTAGCATTCCCCCATCCAGGAACAATTTCAGAGCAAAGGTGCCCAAGGAACCTGCATTACCTACTCGAACTGCTGGTGGGGGTTTTATGAGTCCAAACATGGGAAAAGCTGTAGATGACATAGAAATGGGTAGGAAGACGGTATGGGGAGATATGGGGACAGCAGCTGATCATTGTGAAGAGCAACTCACTGGCAATGAACGAGTGAATGTTAAGGAGGGTGAATTGGGAGAATTGTCGCCAGACATTAGAACTGCTGTGGATGACATGGAGCGTCCTGGAGTACATCCCAGGAGATCTAGTTGGGGTAGAAAAAGTGGAAGCTGGGAAATGTCACCTGAAGTGCTTGCTTTGGCAGCTAGAGTGGGGGATGCAAACCGTGCTGGTGGTGGAGGGACCAGTAGCAACTTGACAACTGAGAACCGGCATACATAGCTCTTGCTGCTCTAGAAGACTAGAGAAAACGTAACAAGGGTTGATTTGTGAAATGAAGTGGCTATATTCGAGGTTAACATGAAGGTTAGTCAAGGTTTGGCTTACATTATATGCAATATTGTGACTTTTTGTGTTGTCAGGGTGTTCTAAAGCGTTGGTTTGACCCTTGTGCTTTTAGGAAGGAATGGTTTGTACTTTGTTGTTGTACTAAAGCAAGCTGTTTTAGTTTCGATTTTTTGTGGAAATTAGTTGACTATCTTATCTAATTGTATTGAATTTGTGGATTCATTTTTAGTGTGAAATAGAAGCTTTAGTGCCTGATTTCTGCTACAAAAGCTGAAGTTGTGCCAAATCACAGGTTTTTGAAAAAAAATTATGATATATATATATATATATATATATATACACAGATATATTTCATACCTGTGTACACACACACACACATATATATATATATTCGTTAGTGCCATTATTTATTAACTTCCATTGCTTAACTACTGTACGTATATAACTGGATATATTCATATACGTATTATGTTCAAAACCATATCTTTATTTGTTGCTGTCTGGAGACATCCACAATGTAAATATTGAAACCAATAGAAATATTTTCCAAATTTCT